AATAGACTATTAAGAATGATGGGAGCTCTGGTAGCATAGTGCCTAAGGCACTTGACTGCTAACCAGAGGCTGGTGGTTCAAACTCACCAGCCACTCCTCAGAAGGAAGATGGGGAAATCTACTTCTGTAGTGATACTGCCTCGGAAACCCAAGGAGGGGTCGCTATGAGTCGGGGCCGGCTCGGTGGCACATAACAACAAGCCACTCCTCGGAAGGAAGATGGGGCCATCTACTTCCGTAGTGATACTGCCTCAGAAACCCAAGGAGGGGTCGCTATGAGTCGGGTGCGACTCGATGGCACATAACAACAACAACAACAAATGTTGCAGAATAATTTAAAATGGTCAATGTAATGCATCCTATCTGGTCCATTTCATTTCTCTTCAACTCAGCATTTTTAAACGAGGTCTGCTACCTGGAATGAGGGCAAATAAATACCAATGGATTTCTCACTTCCAAATAATCCAAATTTCTTCCCACTTTCATGACTGGGACCACAACTTAAGATTCTTAGACTAATTTAAATTTACATACAAGATTGGAAATTTCAATCTACTGTTCAACATGGACACCTACGTGCTCTCTTTTGTTTGCATAAAAAAAAAAGAGTGATTATTGACATTATGGTTAAAATGATGTGGCATGACTGATATGTCTCCGAAATACCCTATGAAACTCTGCAATGATACCAATTTGTAGAATTAATTTTAAGTTAATAGTTTACATTGTACCTAGCCTTTATTTTATTTTTAAAAGTCTTTTGGTGAAAAGCAATAAAATCCCATCTAAAAGTTAACAATCAATATGAAAACCCAAGTTTTGTTGCAATTAAAAAAAATATCAGACTTACTGCGATTTTTCCAAGATCGATGCCATAATTCAGTGAACTCCAGGAGCACTGCTTGTAGTTAGGTGTCCAGGACTCCTCAAAGCTTTCCCTCAGGCATTCTCCCTTTTCTCCTTTGAATCCATCCCGACCTGGGATGCCAGGGGTACCAGGAATGCCATTGGCCCCAGGGCTCCCATCTCGACCAGGTACCCCTGCAGGTCCTTGTAAGCACATTCCATTATACTATAGGGAGAAAGGAAAGAGGGATAAACCTGCCACTTATGTAAAGATCCAAAGACTTAATCTGATTAGAGTGGCATTTATTTTGAGCCCTTAGAGTCAAGCACCCCACTTCATCCTACTTATCCATATTACTCTATATGAGTTATTACAGAGAATTCATTTTTCTATAGATAATCATTTAAATATTACTACTAAAATATTATGAGATTTCTTTCCCACCTTTTTTAATTCCACAAACTTTACACACACACACCAAAAACCAAACCAAATCTGTTGTCCTTGACTCGATTCTGACTCACAGCAACCTTATGAGACGGAGTACAACTGCCCTATAGGTTTTCCAAGGCTGTAATCTTTATGGAAGCAGGCTGCCAGATCCTTCTCCTATGGTGTAGCTGGTGGGTTCAAACCTTTTAGTGAGCAGTTGAGCACTTTAAACACTGCACCCCCAGGGCTTCTGCACATGCATGTTTGTATGCTTACACACATATACACACACACCAAAGAAGAGGACAAATGCTTGCCTTTGCCTTGCTTCTTTGTCTTGTAAGCACACATCATTTTAAAATGGCTGTATTCCAAGGTGGATATAATTTGACGTTCTTCTTTTTTACATCTAACCCTGTATCATATAAAAGGACTTAAATTTCATAGTAATGCTTTGATAGATTTATGCAAACATTGCACTGTTTTTGGATACTTCGGTTACTTCTAGCTTTTCTATTATTATTATAATAAAATCTGTATCTATGTAGTTTTTTTATCTTCCTTTGAATTATTTTTTGAAGTTAAAATCCTAGAAATATAATTATAAAATCTCAACAGCCAATAGTTATCTGACACTAGCAATAGCTGTAAGTTGGACACACATTGTTGTTGTTAGGTGCTAATGAGCTGACTTCTACTCATAGCAACCCCATGTTACAGAGGAGAACTGCCCTGTAAGATTTCCTTGGCTGAAATCTTTATGGAGAACATTGCCATGTCTTTCTCTCTTGGAGCCAGCCTCTCAGTTACACCAACAGGGCTCCTGTGGATATGCACATCCCCACTTACCTTCCCTATTTTTATATGGAGGACATGTCACTAGGGTAGCACTCCTGACCTCCAACCCACCCCTCCTCTCTGAGGACTAAGTGACCTGATTGTGGGTGACTGATGGTTATCAATAGGGTGACAATAATATATCAAAGTCTGTAAGTACAAAAAAAAAAGGTCTCAGGTGTTAGGATTCTGGTTTTTGTTTTTGTTTTTTTGGGAGGTGGTATTGTGTAATAAGTAACATCACGATAAATGGAGAAAAGGATTTCATTCTCCCTTTTCTCCTTTGAATCCATCCCGACCTGGGATGCCAGGGATTTCCTTTTACTTGGATCCATAGTCAACATCTTGCAGTCAAGAAATCAAATCACATATTGCTTTGGGCAAATCTGCTGCAAAAGACCTTTTCAAAGTGTTAAAGAGCAAAGATGTCATTTTGAAGACTAAGGTGCACCTGATCCAAGCTATGGTAATTTTAATAGCTTCATATGCATGTGAGAACTGGGCAAGGAATAAAGAAGATCACAGAAGAATTGATACATTTGAATTATGGTGTTGGTGAAGAATATTGAATGTACCGTGCCTGCTGGAAGAATGAACAAATCTGTCTTGGAGGAAGTATATAGCTAGGATGTTCCTGTGATAGTTGGAGCTGTGTGTCAACTTGCCTAGACCACAATTCTGAGTGGTTTAAGCAGTTGTGATATGGGTTATTCCCATGATGAAATCGGATGTATATGTTTTGAGCAGGCAATCCATTGAAGGGGAGTTTCCCTAAGGGTATGGCCTACTTCCAATATATATATGGACATCCTGGGAAAAGAGACACTCTTCTGTGGATTGGGATACTGTTATGCTGCCTACAAATGTCCATGAGCGAACAGTCTACCATTAGGCCTGGTGATCTCGGATTCATCATCAGTCTGAGTCAACAGCTGGTATAACTAACTGCCTGCCAACCTTGAGTTAGTCAGCCCCTGCAGCTGCACGAATCAGGAAAAGCCTCCAGCGTGACATCTGATCCAAGAACTTGGGGCTTGCCAGCTTCTATAGTGTGTGAGCCATTTTCCTAAGATAAATTTCTCTCTCTCTCTCTCTCTATGTGTGTGTGTGTGTGTGTGTGTGTATATATATATATAAGCTTTACTGGTTTTGCTTCTCTAGAGAACCCAGCCTAACACATTCATATTCTGTTTTGGTTACCTAGTGCTGCTCTGGCAAGAAAATGCTACAAATGGGATGACTTGAACAAACAGGAGTTTATTCTGTTACAGTTTGGAGGCTTTAACTCTGAGTTCAAAGTGCGAGGCTCTAGGGGCTGGGTAAAAGCCCCTCAACCTTGGACTTCAGCTCTTCCTCCTACTCCCTGTCCACTGAAGCTAGAGGCTTTTCTCCACTCAGACAACTGCTGGCTGCTGAAACTGACAAGCCCAAGGTTGACAAGTAAAAAGGCACAGTCCCAATGTTACCAAACCGCACAACAGGCCATTAATTCAAGTCCATTGAAAGTCCCAAGGTTAGGAGAGCATGCAGGCTGCTGAACAACAGCACAGCTACATGCAGGGTTCAAGTGTACCATAAGCTGGAAACTGTTCCCCCAGCCTTCTTATATACAGGAAGCAGACCATATCCCTAAGGCAGCTACTCAGCTGCTCACAGTAGATTCCACCTTGGAGATGATTACCAGTCTCATCATGGGGAATACTACTACATCCAGCTGCCCAGCCACTCAACCAGGCCCAGCCAAGCTGACACACAAACTTAACCACCACAACTCCTTAGAAGCGATAATGGCCAGACTTCGTCTCTCATACTTCGGTCACGTTGTTTGAAGAGACCAATCCTAGTAGAGTAGAAGGTTACCGAAAAAAGAGGAGATGGATTGACACAGTGGTTGCAGCGATGGGCTCAAGCATGGCAACAATTGTGAGGATGGTGTAGGATGGGCAGTGTTTCTTTCTGCTGCACAGAGGGTCAGTGTGAGTCAGGACAGACTCAACAGCACCTAACAACAACAACACTGTGTAAAGGCTAAAAGCATGGAATCTGGAGCTAGATTCTCTCAATTTAAATCCTGGCTGTCACTTATTAGCTATATATAAGATAAAGCAAATGTCACAGATTAAATCGTGTCCCCCAAAATATGTGTCAACTTGGCTAGGCCATGACTCTCAGTGGTTTGACAGTTCTAATGATGTAAACATTCCCTGTGATGTGATCTGATGTGATTATCCTCCATTTGTGATGTGTTGTAAATCTGAACCTCTATCTGTTAATGAGGTTATGGTTATGGTAATGAGGATTAGGTTATGTTTGTATGTTAATGAAGCAGGATCAGGTAGGATGCAGCACCTTTACTCAGATTACTGAGTTTTCCTAGGGTGTATCTTACAAGAGAGAAAAGGGGAGAGAAGCCAGCAGAGAGACAAGGATGTCCATGTCAGCAAGAAAGAAGAGCTGAGAATGGAGCACATCTTTAGAACAAGGGTTCTTGTTCTTAGAACTTCCTAGACCCAGGGAAAGATTGATGCCAAGACACACGGAGACCTCCAGGGAGCACTGGGTTCACAGTGTTGAAAGGAGACAAGGATCTTCTCCCAAAACAAGGTTGAGTTACTTGCTTTGTCTGTTAAACCCATCTACTTGTGGTATTTCTGTTATAGCAGCACTAGAGAACTGAGAAGGCAAGTTACTCAACCTTTCAGTGCCTCGGTTTATCTGTAAAATGGGGATGATAAAGATTCTGACTTTTTATGCAATTTAAGTGGGATAATAAATAAAATGTGCTTAGAATAGTGCCTGGTACATGGCAAACACTGCATATGTCAGCCATCATTATTCTTATTCCTTCAGGACTAGTGGGAGGCAGTGATTCTGGTTAAGTGTGTCCACTCCCTTGAGTAGACTTTACTAGGAGACACTCCTCAGAAGAAAGGTTGGGCAATCTACTTCCATAGTGATACCACCTCGGAAACCCAAGGAGGGCTCGCTATGATTTGGATCCGACTCAATAGCAGTGTGTTGCGTTGTGTTGCGTTTTAGACCTGGTGGTACAATGGTTAAGATCTGCACTGCTAACAGAAAGCCTGGTGGTTCAAACCTACCCAACTGCCAACCCAATATATGTCTAGTGTCCAGTGAGATTCAATAAATGCCTGTGGAATTTGTGAATGGTAGCTCAAATTCTTCCACAACTCCTAAACTCTAAACTCACTGCCTTGGAGTTGGGTCCGACTCAGCGACCCCTCCCAGGGTTTCATAGGCAGTATCACTATGGAAGTAGATTGCCCAATCTGCCTTCCGAGGAGTGGCTGGTGGGTTTGAACCGCCAGCTTTCTGGTTAGCAGTCAAATGCCTTAAGCATTACGCTACCAGACCTCCCCCATCCGTTTTCAGAACTGTTCTTTTTCCTGGCCACCAGGGGGCAGAGCTTGCTGAAAGCGTGAAAGGAACGCTTTGAAAGATCTGTACAAAGAAGTTGCTTTATAGGATCTGTTGAAACCTTCTTAATGACAATGTGGGCTTTTTCTTTCAACAAAACCAAAACCAATCTACAGGATGTACCTGAGCCCAGCTGCACACCAAGCTTCTCTAAATGGGACTAGAGTTGTGGGAAACTATAGCACTAGAAATCTTTGAAGGGCAAGAAAAAAATCACTAGCTTATAGGGAAAAAGGTATTTTGTGTACCTTAACTGCAAATTCTTAAAATGCAAACTGCACATGAACCAACTCATTTAGAGACTTAAAATACTGCAGCCCTGAAAAGATAGTCTGTTTTGTTGACCAAAACTCACACAGCACATCACCAAAAAGTGCTGGTAAAATGGCAGGGGTTTTTCCTAGTACTTAATCCAGCATAGAACTAGCTGCCAGGGAACTTGGTTTATTGGTTTGGTGTAGAATGGCTGTTGAATAAATTCCAAACATTATCAAAAGCACCCCTCTGTCTTATTGCTGCAATGCTTTTGAATCATACTTGTTTGCTAATGAGATTGGTCTAAGGAGTGAAGTTTATTTTGTAGGGATATGGGAGTTATGAAAAGATTGCTCTTACTGGTTCTCTGCCCTCTATTGGTTTTGTTGACTCTTAGAGGGAAAGAAACTTTACATAAACAGACTTTTTCATAGATTAGCCCCTCAGAAAGCACTTGGGCTATTCCTTCTGGAAACCATCTCCTACCAGTGGCCACAAGGCCACTGTCAGGAAGAAGCAACTATCTGGACTGAATATAACAAATGAAACAGTTCCCTAGAGGGTTAGTGTGGGGCCCTTCATTTTCCCTTCTGAAATCCTCTGAACCACTGCTGGCCCCAGCTGTGGCTGCCTAACTACATAAATTGTAGCCTATACTCCCTAGGAAGATGACCGAACATGACTCATGGTCTTCAAGTTACAAAGAGCTAGACAGACGATTTGTGAGGGTTCTTATTCTCTCCAGCGGTTAGATGTGGCAACGCCCCCAAGAAAGGACATGGCCTGGGCCCAGGAGATCAAAGGACTCGAGGGTCTCCCAGGCAGCTCCCAGGCCCAGGTTCTAACCTATCCAAGCTCCTCCATTCTGCTCCCATTCCAACCCTAACTCTCTCCACCCTCTGGGGGTCTCTCTGAGATGAGGAATTATAAGGTGACTCCCTGTACTTCGGGGCGTCCCACAGGACTCACGTCCCACCTCTGCTCCCGATGGCCCTGTCATTTTGGTTTCCTCTCCAAGCTGCAATTCCTCTACACGCAAAGCCTGAGTCCTTCCTTACACGTGGACACAGACAAAGCGGACACCCAGGCGCACGCATGCCACACACACACCAACTGCACAAATACCCGCCCTCCCCCAGTTTCTGGACAGACGCCCACCCCGTGCCGCCCGTCACTCTGCCGCCTCCACCGGTTCAGCGTGCCGCCCTTCCTGCACTCACCAGGTCCACCACCTCCCTCTGCCGGAGCAGCGCCTTTTGCTTCCCCTTGGGGGGCTCGGAGCCGCTCGACGGCGCCGGCAGCTGCAGCAGCAGGAGCAGCAGGAGGCCGAGGAGCTGCAGCGAGGAGGCGGCGGCAGGGCGCTGGGAGCGCATGGCGCGCGGCGCCCGGGACGCGCAGAGCTGGGCGGGCTGGCGGTGCCCAGGCAGCAGCAGGACAACCAAGAGGGTGAGGAGGTCGAGGGAGCTGGGACGTGGTCAGCGTCTGGCCCCGCCAAGCTGCCAGACCGCCGCCGGCTGCATCAATACGCCTTTCACGCGCGCCTCGCTCTCTCTTTTCCCTCGCCCCCGGACACCGAGTTTCCGTCCAGTAATAGGCTGGAGCCCCTACCCCGAGCCCGGCGCGGGGCGGGGCGAGAGCCGGGCCCGCCCCTCGACTGCAGCCGCGCTGCCCACCCGGACCCTCGGAGGAGAGTGCGGACCCAGCAGTCAACTCTCTTGCGGGGCTGGGCGGCGTGACTGTTGCCAGGGAGCCACAGGTGGAGGCTAGACCAGAGAGTGGAGAGCGCATCGCATCAGAAAACTTTTTAGAGAAACGTGTCTTAACCTGGGTCCAGGAAGCAGCTTAAAGGGTCGTCAATCCCTGGCACTGTGGGCAAGCCTTTGAGGGGAAGGGAGGGAAAGAGGTGAAAATTTGGGAGTTGGGACATAAATAACAGATTCTCCAAGGGGCGCATGACCCAAAGAGTTAAGAGCAGCTGTCTTCAAGATTAACTGCTAACACCAGTGAGTTCTGGTGGCGTAGTACCTGAGGCATTTGACTGCCAACCAGAAAGTTGGCAGTTCAAACCCACCGGCCGCTTTGCGGATGAAAGAGCAATCTACTTTCGTAAAGGTTTACCACCTCGGAAACCCAAAGGGGTCGCTATGGATCAGAATTGACTGCATGGCAGTGAGTTTGGTTTCAACACTTTACTAAGGTCGAGGAACCATGCAGTTTTTTACCTGACCTGCTCATGGCACAGCGTCTAACGCATTTGACTGCTAACCAGAAGGTGGTGGTGGTTGTTGTTAGGTGCCGTAGAGTGTTCTAACCAGAAGGTTGACAGCTCAAAACCCATCATCATTTCACAAAAAGAAGACGGGCAATCTACTTCCATGAAGATTTACCTCCTTGGAAACCCGATGGGGGTCATGTGGGTTGGAATGGCCTCAGTGGTAGTGGGTTATTCTCACAGACATCCAACGCAGTAGATACCCCCTCTGCTAGCCACATTAACTACTGAGGAAACAGACTCCGTTAATCAACACTCAGTGGTAGAAGGCTGCCTTTAAGCACTCATTCAACCTTTGCTTGATACCATCTTTTCTAACCTTGTCTTCCAAGTTCAAAGATGTTCTGGATACCTAATGCTGCTCCAACACGAATATACCACAAATGGGATGGCCTTAACAAACAGGAGTTTATTCGTTTACAGTTTGGAGCCTTTAAGTCCAAGTTCAAAGTGCCAGACTCTTGGGCCTGGGTGAAAGCCCCTCAACCTTGAGGTCCAGCTCTGTCTCCTGCTTCCGGCCCACTGGAGCTAGAGGCGTTTCTTCACTCAGACAGCTGCTGGCTGCTGAGACTGAGAAGCCCCAAGGTTGACAAGTAAAAAGGCACAGTCCCGATGTTACCAAACCACACAGCAGGCCATTAATTCAAGTTCATTGTAAGACTCAAGGTCAGCAGAGCATGGCAGGCTGCTGAACGGCTACATGCAGGGTCCAAACGTGCCATATGCTAGAGACCATTCCCAAAGCTGCTTCTTATATATGGGAAGCAGACCACATACCCAAAACAACTACTCAGCTGCTTGTGGTAGATCCCACCATGGTCTGATTGCCAGTTTCTTCATGGGGAATAACTACCACCAGCTGCCCAGCCACTCAACCAGGCCCAGCCAAGTCGACACACAAACATAACTACCACAAAAAGTAAATATGCGGGGGCAGTGCCTGCGGTGAGAAGTGTGTCTTGATTGTTGCAAGCAGTCTCTTCTCCCAGTACAACACTGGACAGGAGAGTCTGTCAAAATCTGGAGTAAGAGGCTCTCCTGTTATGTCAGCCCTGGAACCTATCCCCTGTCCAGACTGGGGAAGTCACCTCTTCTCCTTTTACATTCTGGAAACAAGCATCTTCAGGGAGCCAGGTCACCCACCAGGAAGGGTCAAGTCAGAGCCTATCACTTCTTTATACATCACAGGCAGGAACCTGGCAGAATAGAAATATTGCCACAACTGTAACAACACCGAGGCTGCTAACAGAATGGCAATACTGTGGAGGTCAAATTCAACTCCGCTGGGATCTGTTTTAGAGGCCCAGTCAGGCCCCAGGGAGTTATACTGGTATCCAACTGATCAATCTCAAAGAGAAGGGACAGTCCAACATGGGAGCAGATCAGGGCAGTCCTAGGAATGTTCACTCCTGGGCCAGTGCCCAAGTACATGTCAATTTAAAAAAAAAACAAAAAAACAAACATCGCCAATTCCATCCTTTAAAAGATCAGCATATGTTGTATACCTTTTACTAGGTCAGAGTCTGCTGAGTGTGTCAGAAAAAGCACAAATCTAAATGAGTTGTCAAGCCAGGATGGCTGTATAATTTGTAGGGCCCAGTGCAAAAGGAAAATCCAAGGTGCTTGCCCCAAATTATGAAGAATTTAATAATTAAACCAAACTTGGAGCATTAAACTTAACCAAAGAAGTAAGCCAAACTTGGGACCCTTCTAAGTGTGGAGCCCTGTGCAACTGCATGGGGGGTTGTACACCATGAAGTTCTCCCGTCAAAAGCTGAGCAAGTTACCAGCTGATGCATTTTTGCAGCCAAACTACTGTGGTGGCAGTAGTCTCACAGGCTGGGGAGGAGGGCACTACCACCCAGAAGGTCTGACTCTACATGATTTCTTCAGCTGTGGTTGCTGCTACTGTCATCCAGTGACTTCCTGTGGCCTCTGGGTAAATCTGAGGCTCAGACTGGGGTTTTAGCAAGGAGCTAATCCTGCCTCAACATCCGTGCATTTTTAAACTACACATTCATATCATTAATCTAACTACATTGTGTGATAACTAATGTACAACTAATATCATCATCTACATCTCAAAGATAGCATATAATGAAGTATAAGTGCTTTATAAGGAACTCTGATGGCATAGTGCCTGAGGCATTTGACTGCTAACCTGAAGGTTGGTGGTTCAAACCCACCAGCCACCCCAAAGAGGGAAGACTGGGAAACCTACTTCCGTAAAGATTTACCACCTCAGAAACCCAAAGGGGGTCACTATGAGTTGGAATTGACTCAATGGCAGTGAGTTTACTTTATAGTTTATAAGTGCTTTACAGTATACAGAGGGCTTTCACATACCTGTCTCCCTGGCCTCAGCTAGCTGGGTTCACAGAGGCAGATTTACTGGTATCTGATTCTCTGGGCAGTACAGTTAAGAATTCAACTACTAACCAAAAGTTTAGCCATTTGAACCCACCAAGAGGCAGCTCAAAAGAGAGGTCTGGAGAATCTGCTTCCAAAGGTCACAGCCTTGAAAACCCTACAGAAATCACGTCTATACCATGAATCAGAATTGACTCACCATAAATTGAAATGGACTCAACTGATTTTTTTTTAGGTGGGGAGGAGGGGAAGTAGCTTAACCTTCAGAGGCCCTCACTTCCTCAATATCTTTCGAAGACCCTGGAAGGAGGTCTTACCATGCACTTATATGGTCAGGTGTTTTATAAAATTTGCAAAGGTAAAAATTTTAGCCCCAATTTAAGACTGTTCTCTCTTTCCACTCCTCTATTTCACCCTCCCATCAGACAGCATTGGAATCACCGCAAGCATGTTGAGGATCCATCTAAGGGGAAATCAAGTTAGTGATTCATTTAGTTTATGTTCAGTGGGATATGTATTTGTTATTGCTACCTGTCCTGGTGTAGGAATGGCCTGCTACTGTCTACTGGGCTGATTCACCTGTCTTTGTGGCATGAAGTACAAGGCTAGAGGTTGTATCATGGTATGGTTGTATCCTAAGGTGCTTGGCCCAGAGTATGTGGGTTGCGGAGGAGAAACAAGGTTTAACATGAATGGAGTGATAAGCTAGTCTGTGGGGAATTTTTCTAATCATTACCTGTATAAACAGAGGATTCTCATCAACATCTAGACAAAAATGGAAGTTGCCTCCTATAAGGAATATACTCACTAATGTAATGAATACAATAATAAGCACCATATATATTTTTTCTTTTTTTGTTGGGAATCACACAAAATAGAATTATCAGAATTTCTGTGCTTATAGGGCACAAATTTATAATAGTACCACAAATAGAAAGCTCACCAATGTGTAAAGTCACATGTTTTTTCCATCCCAACCATTAGTGATAAAAAATTTCCATCCTCTTTTACATGAAAGATTGAATTGTCTTTCTAGTCTCTCTATAAAAAATGCCTTATAAAATCATTATCATATCAGAGTCAATCAAAGGATGTTACTGTTGTTGTTAGGTGCCATTGAGTCTGCTCTGACTCATAGAGGCCCCGTGTGCAACAGAACAGAACACTGCCGGTTACGTGCCATCCTCACAATCCTTGCCTTGCTTGAGCCCATCATTGCAGCCACTGTGTCAATCCGTCCTGTTGTGGATCTTCTCCCTTTTTCGCTGACCTTCCACTTTACCAAGCATGATATCCTTCTCCAGGGAATGGTCTCTTCTGACAACATGACCAAAGGAAATGAGATGAAGTCTGGCCATTCTAATCAAAGGGTAAGCAGCCAAAAAAAAAAAAAAAAAGAACAAAGGTATTACAGAGATGTGTCAGGCAGTTAGTTAAAAATATTACAATATTTTTCTGGATTTTGTAATGTTTATGACTCCTGTCAGTTTTTTTTTAAAAACATTTAAGTTGTGGTTTCTTTTCTCATTCTAAATAGCCTCTTTGGTACATAATTCTGTATTGTTTTTCATCAAGAGGATCTCCAACATTGTCTAAGCTTCCAAACCTGGATCAGTGTCTGTCTGTGATATTGGCATTAGCTAGCAGATGAGTAAACCATCACCTCGGAGAGGTGAAGAGACTTTCACAAGGTCACACTTTTAGTAAGTAGCGCATCCAAGTCTTACACTT